CAGTGCTGAAGGTAAGGCCGCGCGCAGCTATTTTGTCATGCGTCTCCCAAATCCCTTGGCGCGTGCAAAGATGTACAGGTTTGCTAGGGGGAAAGGGCCTAAGTCCTCTAGTCCAGAAACCTTCCTTCCCAGATTTGAGACCCTCCTGGTACCAGTCTGGCAGCGCGTCCTCAAACTGGTTCCACCATTTGCAATGCACAAGGACATGCGACCAGCTGGCTTGGACAGCACAACATGGGCACACCTTAATCGGACTGTTACTGGCATGTGTCAGACTACCTTGCCACAAAGCACGCAAGCCGGCCATGCGCACATAATCCCCTTTGGAATTGAGCTGTCGCAGAAACTTTCGCCCCACGAACCAGTCAATTCCGTTGGAAATCTCAGGGCAGGCGAAACTTTCCGCAGTACGCCTGCTGCGTTCAGCGCTGATGTCGTCTGTGATGTCCTGGAGCACCTTTGCGCGGCCAGAACCAACGGTGAGGTCATAAGACGTGGGGGGCTCAGGTCGGCGCCATTCTTGCAAACTAGGAAAGTTCCACTTCAAGCCCGTCATGTGTCCCACAGTGGCAGCAAGGGGTCCTTTGACATGATGCCAATTTGTCCGACCCTCTTGGAATCCCGCTACGGTCTGCTGCCACGCTCGGTCCAAAGGGGCCTGGTCAGGACCCCACCGGCTCAGTACAGTGAACCACTCCTGTACCTGTTGCACAACGACCGTGGCCCAAGGATCACAAACACGGTCCGCCTCAGCACTCAAAGCAACTTCAATATTACCCAGCTTTTGCAGGCCTACATGCAGTGCAACAGCACGCCTGAGTGTATGCACACGACTTGGCGGCAAGCCCTGAGCTTGATGCCCCCATAACATGGAGGCGCAGATGCTGCCTTTGAAAAGCCGCACACGACAGGACTCAACAGTTACTCGAAGCTTTTTGAGCTGGCCTTGCCGTTGTCTGCCCTTTCCGAACCTCAGCTTTTGATGCTTCACTTGGCGCACTCTGCCGAGTGCACAATCAACGCCCAAATCCCGCATGCACTGGAAGATTTTCGGCTCGTCAGGTTTCAAAAGCAGTTTCAATTCTTTCCTGGCCTGTTTGGTGCTCACAAGAAAACCAGTTTTCGTAGACGAGATTTTTAAACCACTATCGCTCAAACCTTTGGCCAGAATCCTATATCCAGCGATGGCCTGCCG